GAGAAGAGCATTTGAAAGACAAAAACGGCGAATATTTTTTCACTGGGCTAAAAGCCCTTTATTATAAATTTAAGAAGTTCATTGATGTAGAGGCAGATTATGTAGAAAAATAAAATTTTTATACATTCCTATCAGCTAGTTTCATTCCTTCGGCTCGAAACTTTTCAGCCTTTTAATAGTAAAGTAGTAGGGAATCAAAAGACTCATAAAACAACAAAAATCTTTGAACTCACAAAACTAGTTGCTAAAAGATAACAAATTTATTATTAAGGTTAAAAGGCATGCACGTGATTGTTTATACATACATACGTAGTCAGGGCCAATGTCTATGCGTTTATAAATAAATTGATGTGAAGACAGAGCACTGCACTCAATGAATGATAGACAATACAAAGGTATTGCACAATTCCTCAATCAATAAAATGCATTTAAATGTTGAATGATTGCATCAATTACATTGCCACAAATACATACATACAATCACATGTATACTATTGTAAACACTTAAATCTTTTAAGAAATTCTAGTAACATTCATATGTACATGTTACAAATATTTAACAAATAAGAGTATTCTTAATGAGTCCAAGTTGTGTACTTTTGTCCATACGGGTATTGTACATACATACCTAGTACAAATACATTAGGGCGAATTTAGTTTTTTATAAATAAAATTCAATTAAAATTTTTTTTTAATTCACCTCAGATGAGAGAAGAGTTTAAGTGTAGAAGGTATGCATAAAAATAGTTCAAAATTTATCAGCGCAATCAAAATAATGACGTTTTTGAAGGTATTTTCAAATCTTAATATTTTTCCGAAATATTTTGGCGGAATTCTTAAAAGCTACGAAATTTTATAATTCCGGTGTATATGTATATCTACAGCTACATACAGTGACAAACAAAAGTATTGGCACTGTGAATTTTTCACAATATACGCAAAGTTTTTTTATTTAAATTTATTTTCAAATTTTTTTTTATAAACATGTAGTTTATTCTACACCAAAACACATAACAATAAAATCTCTAAACTGTGTGCAAAACTCAAGAAAATTCAATTAATTTCCATACCAATTTCTAAGTATTCAGTTTTATAGCCCATTCAATTTTAGTACANTACAGCTACATACAGTGACAAACAAAAGTATTGGCACTGTGAATTTTTCACAATATACGCAAAGTTTTTTTATTTAAATTTATTTTCAAATTTTTTTTTATAAACATGTAGTTTATTCTACACCAAAACACATAACAATAAAATCTCTAAACTGTGTGCCAAACTCAGGAAAATTCAATTAATTTTCATACAAATTTCTAAGTATTCAGTTTTATAGCCCATTCAATTTTAGTACAAAGTGCAAGTTTTGGCATTTTTTCAGGCAGGTTCTTCCATACAAAGTATGTTCGACAATTATTTTCATGTATGAATAAAATTAGCAATACCTTCCACTAAAAAACTTGCCAAAACTCTAGCAACTTCAAGCATTAGTTTTCTTGAGGAACCGAACTAATAGCTTTACTTGTAGGCATCGGAAAAACGTTTTAACTAATCTCATTTTGAAGAATGACAATTCTAAGGAAAATAGTGAAAAATAAAACAGTCGCTTATTGAACGATAAATCGACATTCACAATACCATGGAAAAGCAATAAATGAGTAATAGTCGATTACCTACTAACCGTCGAAACTCGCAGTAGGGCTGTTTATGTTAGTAAAGGTGCATTTGGAAATCTTGCACAAGATTTTGGATGGAGAACCCACGTATGTTGCGCACTCGCAAAGATAATGTTTGTTACGGTTGTACGGAAAGTCGGTTTTGGCAGCATGTACCCCAAAGGGTCAATGTCTCGTCATCGTGGCTGTTTACCTGATTATATCTCTCCGCGACCCCAATAGAAGTTTTTCACTCGACAACAACCTCGAGTCGCCACGGGATGCTTGCTAAGAGCCGACAGGATCAGGCACTGAGTAGGCCACTTATAGTTAGAGGGCGGTCAATTACGGCAGATCTTCTAACCAAATAAAAATTAATTTAGGCAATAGGATTCTTTAAGCTTTACAAGACGGCGAGTCCAGATGGCTTTTCACCGATTCAGCTGCAGCAATCATTGGAGCTAATCTGAAATTGATTGTATACTATTTTAAAGGGAGCTCTTATTATCAATTAGATTTGGGAGATCTGGCAAAGTTCAAGGGCTTGTCTCATCCCCATATCGGGAAGAACTACCCGCACTAAGTCCAAGTCTATCATCATTCCACCTCAAGATTATGGAGCGGCTGATAGAATCCTTTTCAGGGAATCGGTTTCAAACAAAATTATGCCATCTCAACATGTCTATATGAAAGGGAAGTCCACTGAAACTGCGCTGCACGAAATCATGTCGCGCATTTTGAAAAATCCTTAGCGATCAANGGGAGATCTGGCAAAGTTCAAGGGCTTGTCTCATCCCCATATCGGGAAGAACTACCCGCACTAAGTCCAAGTCTATCATCATTCCACCTCAAGATTATGGAGCGGCTGATAGAATCCTTTTCAGGGAATCGGTTTCAAACAAAATTATGCCATCTCAACATGTCTATATGAAAGGGAAGTCCACTGAAACTGCGCTGCACGAAATCATGTCGCGCATTTTGAAAAATCCTTAGCGATCAAGGTATGTACATATCGTCGGTCCCTACGAAGAGTAGCACATTTCACTATTCGCGTGGAAGACTAGCACATTTCACTATTAGCGTGGAAGACTAGCACATTTCATTATTCGCGTCGAAAAGTAGCACATTTCAGATTTTTGCGTGGAAGAGTA